TTTCTGTTTTTCGTCTTTTCTTCTTTTCTTTTCTTTCTTTTTTCCTAATTTTTTACACTGATCGACGGAAGTGACGTTTCCACCAACTGGGTAGAACGATCAGATGGCGCGTGATACGAGTCGTATCCCCTCAATCGGGGTAAGTAATCTCGAACTTTTCTGCTATTGTGTTTGTTTTTTTCGTATTGGTTGTTTGAATTGCTCCCGCCGCACGTCACCATCGACGTTCGTATTGTCTGCGGGCAATATCTCTCGGAAAGTGACGATGAGAGGGCAGCATTTGAGCAAGAGGAACATCCCCCCGTCTCCCATCATCGCAACAGCGCGCAGGCTTTCCGCTCGACCGTAATTCATGATTGCGGGCCGAGCGGCAGAGAGCATTCCAGTCAACAGAAGATCGGGCGGACGGTGTTCGAGCCCTATACCGGGACGTCGGTGCTTCGCGGCTGCCTTCACCATGGACTTCCAGGTTTACCAGGAATTGCTAGATCGGATGATCGATGACGAAGAAGAGAGGGTATAAGCTTCCTCGCCCTAAACTCCTCACTCGCCCGATTTCATCAAGCAACTGCCGAGATACATCATTTCTCCCTTCATTTTTCATTCCAATTCGTCTACTCCGCTCACACCATTTCTATTCTAACTCTAATTCCACCAATCATTTGCTCAATCTAACTGCAAATCCGGTTTCGCTCTTGCCAAAAACCTTAGACTTCTCCTTTCTCTTGTGTCGATCCATAAAAAAACAGGTAAGTTATGACTTTTTCCCTCCGCCATATCTATTTCACCTTTGTCAACTTTCTTTACCTACCTACCCGTATCTGGACCTGATCCCAACCAGATTCACTCATCTTCCTTCGCCTGCGCTGCTTCTCCTCTCGCTCACCTACACTGTTGCCTTACCGCTCTCTTCCCTTATCAACCTTGTTCCCTTCTTCGTATGTCTTCCTTACTCCCGTCGTCGTTTACTTTCCTACCTTTCTCTTCCCCTCTCTCTCTCTCTCTCATCTTCTTCCTCGATTCTCCAATGACTTCCTTTCTTCCATTAACCCTTAGCGCAGTCCGTCATGTCCTTCGACAGTACTCTAGCGCATCCCAGCCGAATATAGTCTGATCCCACTCGTCGTATGAAGAAGATTGCGGGGAGACACTGGCTACCAATCGGTCGGTAAGTCTTTCGCCCCTATACCCAAAGCCCGAGGAACGATTTGCTTGCGCGTATCTGCTGTGTGACGAAGTCACTTGCGGGACGATGGAGGGAGTTGGGCGGTTTAGGAGGTGTGTGGCCTGCGGCCCCACTTCTATGACTCACTTCTGTGCGATCTAGCATCATCTACGTTTTTTTTTTTTCCTTATTTATAAGGAGCAGACCTGTGTAACATTATGCCAACTACCATGCACCTGGTTGACTACTGGTAGGACGAACCAGATACCTTCATGCAACAATCCTTGGCCCATCTCAACAGAAGTTACAGGAACGGTGGTTGGGTTTCGGTACCGGGACAATCCCATTGGGATTCCGTTTGGAACTTTCAGTCGCAGCTGAGGATCTTCTAAATCTACGTATATGGCAATTTGTTATTTTCTCATCCACGGCAACCACATAACGGATCAGCATCTACGGAAGACTGGCTTTGACATGACAACTTACCCAGGCTGAAGCACGGCCTCGCTGGTCTGCCCGGTCCCGCTGCTTTGACCTGTGACAGTATAAGTCACAGGTGTCTGGCCAGCAACAATAGCTTGAGTGCTCTCACGACCTGCGCCTTCCAGGCCTCGGCTGCCCGCAGCATTCATTGCGAACGCAAACCTGCGCGCATGCCACATAAGGGTCAGGTCTTTTCAGAGGTCGAATCCTTTCCCTCGCCTTGATTTGGTGAAGCGGTCCCGCCCGCCCTCGATTTTCCCGCTGTGTGCGGCCTGCGGCCCCACTTCTACGACTCACTTCTGTAGGATCCGGCATCATCTAGGGGGTTTCTTTTTCCTTATTTATCTGGAGCAGACCTGTGTAATAAGAAACTTGGCTCCCGGCTGCTGCTTCACTTCCATTCCTCCCTCTTCCTCGAAAGGGTTGGATGTGGCCATAGCCGGGGGCCAGGTCCCACTAGTTTCCTCAACGCCCGAATCTGGACGTGTCTGTGGATATGTGCAGAAATGGCCTTCAGTTGAGTTTTCTCAACCCCACATCTCCAGGAACTCGTCCAGATTCAGGCGTTGAGGAAACTCAACGCTGCTTGTGGGACCTAGCCCCGGGTAGGCTGCTTGTGGGACCTAGCCCCGGGTAGGCTTCGTGAGACGAGTGCCAGACCTCAGGCCGCATGCCTGGTCCCGGGGGCTAGGTCCCACTTGCACGAATTAAGAGATAGAGACCGTAGATAGCCGAGATCAACGGCCGAAATCTCCTAGTCCATGCCAGTGGGACCTTGCCCCGGGTCAGGGATACGGTCCTCCAGACCGGCACCACGCTCCATGGACGCCGGTCCTCCCACACCGGTGTCGCGCTCCTTCACCCGGGGCCAAGTCCCACTACCGGTAGCAGCGTTGCGCTACCTCAACGCCCTCAACGCCTGAATCTGGACGTGTTTGTGGAGACGTGCAGTTCAGGAAACTCAACACCATTTCTGCACATCTCCTCAAAAGCGTCCAGGTTCAGGCGTTGAGGTAGCTCAACGCTGCTGGTAGTGGGACTTGGCCCTCGTTCGCGCGCCCCTCCCCCGACGGACCCATGAAATCTGTCATTTTCCTTTTTTTTAACCCAATGGACCACGGATCAGTACAGATACTCCTCAGTCTTAGGGAAAAGGCCGAACCCATAACGTCAACTGACCCGTGAGTTCTAACCCTGGTGCCCCCGTACAGATAAATCGCCCTCTCTCCATATGTGCGAATTGATAATGAATAGTCCCCTAGGGCGTGGGAAGATACACTGCTAACATTTTTGGCCTTTGTGCTCGCGATGAGTGGTGGAGCGAGGCCGCATGTCTCTCGTGTTGTCTGTCTATCGCACACCTCGAGCGCAGCGGGAGCGTTGCACAGCAACCCCGCGACGCAGTCGGACCGTCGTTCAACAACGCCGCGAGCAGCAAGTGGCCATTGCTGGTAGAAGGAACGTGCGTCTAGCACGTGACTGAGGTTTGCCTTCTCCCCCCCCCCCCCCCCCCCC